CTACCCCCCTAATCCCATAATGTTCTAGTTTATTAATTAATATATCATAGTTTATTGTATCAAACGCTTTACTCAGGTCAATAAATAACCCTATTGCATATTTCTTGTTATCTACAGCGTTAGTTATTTCTTCAGTTACAGTGCCTTGCGAAAGTATTCGGCCCCCTTGAACCTTTCAACATTTCGCCATATTTCAGGCTTCAAACATAAAGATATAAAATTTTAATTTTTTGTCATGAATAAACAACAAGTGGGACACAATCGTGAAGTGGAATGAAATTTGTTGGATTATTTAAACTTTTTTAACAAATAAAAAACTGAAAAGTGGGGCGTGCAATATTATTCGGCCCCTTTACTTTCAGTGCAGAAAACTCAGTCCAGAAGTTCAGTGAGGATCTTTGAATGATCCAATGTTGTCCTAAATGACTGATGATGATAAATAGAATGCACCTGTGTGTAATCAAGTCTCCGTATAAATGCACCTGCTCTTTGATAGTCTCAGGGTTCTGTTTAAAGCGCAGAGAGAACCATGAAGACAAAGGAACACACCAGCCAGGTCCGAGATACTGTTGTGGAGAAGTTTAAAGCCGGATTTGGATACAAAAAGATTTCCCAAGCTTTAAACATCTCAAGGAGCACTGTGCAAGCAATTATATTGAAATGGAAGGAGTATCAGATCACTGCAAATCTACCAAGACCTGGCCGTCCCTCCAAACTTTCATCTCAAACAAGGAGAAGACTGATCAGAGATGCAGCCAAGAGGCCCATGATCACTCTGGATGAACTGCAGATAACTACAGCTGAGGTGGGGATGGTGTGTTCAGGGTGATGAGCTGTGTTGCTTTTACGCCAAACATATCGTTTTGCATTGTGGCCAAAAAGTTCAATTTTGGTTTAATCTGACCAGAGCACCTTCTTCCACATGTTTGGTGTGTCTCCCAGGTGGCTTGTGGCAAACTTTAAACAAGACTTTTTATGGATATCTTTGAGAAATGGCCACTCTTCCATAAAGGCCAGATTTGTGCAGTGCACGACTGATTGTTGTCCTATGGACAGACTCTCCCACCTCAGCTGTAGTTATCTGCAGTTCATCCAGAGTGATCATGGGCCTCTTGGCTGCATCTCTGATCAGTCTTCTCCTTGTTTGAGATGAAAGTTTGGAGGGACGGCCAGGTCTTGGTAGATTTGCAGTGGTCTGATACTCCTTCCATTTCAATATAATTGCTTGCACAGTGCTCCTTGAGATGTTTAGAGCTTGGGAAATCTTTTTGTATCCAAATCCGGCTTTAAACTTCTCCACAACAGTATCTCGGACCTGCCTGGTGTGTTCCTTTGTCTTCATGGTTCTCTCTGCGCTTTAAACAGAACCCTGAGACTATCAAAGAGCAGGTGCATTTATACGGAGACTTGATTACACACAGGTGCATTCTATTTATCATCATCAGTCATTTAGGACAACATTGGATCATTCAAAGATCCTCACTGAACTTCTGGACTGAGTTTGCTGCACTGAAAGTAAAGGGGCCGAATAATATTGCACGCCCCACTTTTCAGTTTTTTATTTGTTAAAAAAGTTTAAATTATCCAATAAATTTTGTTCCACTTCACGATTGTGTCCCACTTGTTGTTGATTCATGACAAAAAAATAAAATTGTATATCTTTATGTTTGAAGCCTGAAATGTGGCGAAATGTTGAAAGGTTCAAGGGGGCGAATACTTTCGCAAGGCACTGTAGCTCCCCTGGCTGTTATAGCTCCCGTGGCTGTTATAGCTCCCGTGGCTGTTATAGCTCCCGTGGCTGTTATAGCTCCCCTGACTGTTATAGCTCCCCTGACTGTTATAGCTCCCCTTGGTTGTTATAGCTCCCCTGACTGTTATAGCTCCCTGGGTGTTATAGCACTGGCTGTTAAGCTCCCCCCCTAAAGCAACACACTATGAAACAAATGCACTAACACTTCCATCTAGTGGCAGCAAATGGGAATTACACGCTGCAGGTGACTAGACTGAAAACAGACAATATTTTGGTTTTGAATGACAGAAAACAGCTCTGTCCACAGTGTACACAATATCTGAGGATTAAAAAGGATCATATGGATGGATGGACTGGAGGAGGAGTGTGATTGGACAGATTTGAGGCAGAAGTTATCATCTGGATGAGACTAAAAACAATGTCAGAGATTCTTTGCCTTTCGCAGTAAAACCACAGTGGAATACATGAGTGAGAGTCCCCAAAGTGCAGTGAAAATGAGCTAGTATAGTATATAGTAATTATTTGTGTAACTTATAAATGTATGCTGATTTTACAATACCTTCCTCTATTCTCCATCTCTCTTCTTTTAACTGTTTGCACCAAGAGCCAAAGAAATGTCCTAGTCTGACTTCCTTTTACCGTTTTTTCCCCATTATTCATTGTTATTTTTATTGTGGAAAACTGTGCAAGCTACTGTGACAACGCAATGTCCCTGTGGATCAATGAAGTCCGTCTAAGTCTATTAGGAGCACATTAAAGCCCTTCATTTCAACAGTGCACTTTATAATCCACTTTATATATGAAGATAACGCCATCATTTGATAATGCGTCTTATTAGTGCGAAAATTCAGAATGTTATTATTAATATTATTCACTTTTAAGTCAGAGTTGCAGTGACTTGGCCTTGGACTATGGATGCGTGGCTCTATATTTGTATTGAACTGAAAAACTTTCTTCTTCAGACACTATAGAGATAATCTACATCTGTGAAACTGAATGTGTACATGAAGAGCAGCTTCAGGGACAGACTGATCCACCCTCGCTGTGTGAAGGAGAGGTTGCACAGGCCTCCTGCGGCTGTCAGACTGTACAATGAAAACTGCGGCCTCTGTACATGTCGTCTCATCTGTAAATAGTAAATACTGCAATCATGAGTAATACTGAAATTTCAGAACGTTCACTGAATGTACTCTCTTCACGCTTCCATATATGTATACAGTTTACATATACACACATATTGATATTTACTCGCTGCTATTAGGAAGCATTTACAGCAACTTTGGAATTTCCCCGGTGTCGGACCAATTTACAGTCTTAAAACTATAAAATATTTGAGGGGATTCATGAGTCACACAAACATGAAGCTGGAATAAAATCTGATCCGGAGTCAGTTCCACAGACTCACCCTGGTGGAGACTCTGTAGGCCACGTATGCGTTCATGCCGTCCCCTGTGAGAGAGAAGACGGTCAAACTATCATTGAGAGGACGGGGGCGGAGGTGACAGGAGCAAACATGTGCTGCTTTGGTTCAGTTTGGGTTCAATCATCCAACTTTCTGGATTCCGGCTCAGACACACATCATTACCATTCATTTGCAGTTTTGTAAATTGTAGATTATAAGGCCTTACATCGCCACCTATAAAATTCCAAACTTAAGTATTTCAGTCTACTTCTGGGATGAGTCTTATTGTCCTCCATGTTTGTAAAGTCGAGGGACATGAATCAAAATTGGTCTGCAATGTTAAGAATCGGGGGCGACAGTAGCTCAGTTGGTAGAGCATTGGCCTTAAGGCCAGAAGGTTGTGGGTTCAATTCCCACCTCTGCACCTTCTCCACCGACTCCCACTGATGACTGCTGTCGTTGTGTCCTTGGGCAAGACACTTAACCCCACTTTGCCCAAAGCCCCCACTGAAAGATCAAGGCTATGCTCACACTCAGAGAGCAGCCGCCCTCCTGTGGACTCACCACCTGCAGAGGGTCAGTGAGGGGCTGGTGCTATGAGACTTGGGTGGCATCTCTGACTGCCACCCCCCTGACCCAGAAATGGAAAAAAGGGTAGAAAATGGATGGATGGATGTTAAGAATCGCTCTAATATTGAGTTGTGGCCCAAACATCACAGCACATTTGTTCCCAGATCTATTACTGAGGTTTATTACAAGCTCAGTCAGATATATATGTTCTCTTCACAAACAGAGAGAGATCAGCAGGAATCGGCAAAGACTGAAATCCCATGGCGTCAGTTAGAGCCACATTCCAGCCTCATGGTTCCAGTGTTGGCTTCACTGTGACATCAGGAGAAAGAAGCAGAACCACTTTCTCAGGACTGGTGACCGAGATGTCCACGTCAAAGCTGTCCTTGGCTTCTTCATCTTCCTCCAACTGTTGCAGGTCACAAGCAGAGTATCAGCAAAACAGAGACAGAGGACCTCAAACATGCGCCCCCTAGTGGACGTCCAAGTTAATGGTAGTTCGGCCTCCACTGAGCGTCTTTAAAACGATGTATAACACATTTGCAGAGAGATTTTTATCAGAAAAACAACCACAGCATTTATTTTTCCAAACACATTGAACCCTGAATGCAATAAGTAATAATTCAAGTGGACTTTGTTAAACCGAGTCTACAAAACAAGTCTCCAGTCTCTGTTTCGAGCCCAAACCTTTACTTTCTCTGTTAATGCAAAATGAGACCAGAGAGAGAGAGAGAAAAACAGAGAAAGAGAGCGACAAGAGAAAAAACAGACCAGAGAGACCAGAGACAGAGAGAAAGAGAGAGAGACCAAAGAGAGTGAGAGAGACAGAGACCAGAGAGAGAAAGAGAGACAGAGAGAAAGAGAGAGAGACAGAGAGAGAGACCAAAGAGAGTGAGAGAGACAGAGAAAGGAAGAGAGAGAAAGAGAGACAGAGAAAGAGAAAGAGAGAGAGAAAGGAAGAGAGAGAGAGAGACCAAAGAGAGTGAGAGAGACAGAGACCAGAGAGAGAAAGAGAAAGAGAGACAAGAGAAAAAACAGACCAGAGAGACCAGAGACAGAGAGAGAGAGAAAGAGAGACAGAGAGAGACCAGAGAGAGAGACCCGAGAGAGAGAGATAGAGAGAAGAGAGAGAGAGACCAGACAGAGACTGTACTTTCTCTACTGTTAATGTTAGAATGATAATATTCAGGTTCATTATACTTATCCCGGAGCTAAACTGCGTGAGCAAAGTAAAATAGCGTGTGCAGTTTTAGTGTTTCTGTCTCTGCGTGTGCACAGATCCACACTCCCAGATACACGAGGCCCCTGTAGATCGTTACCTGCTCCAGAGAGGTGTGCTGAGCGGGGGGGGGAAGGAGGGCGTGGTGCAGGGGGCGGGGCCAGAGCTGCTCACCTCCACACGGGCGTCTGCAGCCAATCAGAACAAAGGGTGTCAAACAGTCACAATTTTTTTAATCCATGTTAAATGGTAGAAAACTAAAAACAAAAATAGTGTCATGGAGGCCAGGATAATGTAGTGTAGACAACTTAGTATTATCACAAAGTGTGATGTCATGTTTTTATGATGAAAGTGAATCAAAAATAAAAGGTCTGAGATCAAGTAACAAATGTATGAGTGTGTGGACTTCAGCACGGAGCGAGCAGAGGGCGGGAGTGTGTGGTCAGAGAGTGTTCGGGCCTGTGTCTTGTCGTGTGTTGTGTGTGTGTGCGTGCAATAGTGTTGTGTGTGTGATTGTGTGTGTTGTGCTGAATGAATGAAGGGTTGGAGCCAAATAAGCGTCTGCTTCTTTTCAAACAGTTTATTTTGTGTCTTGTTTTTATTTATATTGTTTTCTTTTGCATAACGTTTGAAAGAAATCCTTACGACTACTCGGGCTGGGCGATATGACTGAAAACGATATCACAAAATAAGTGATTCAAAGCGGTCAATATCGATTATTATTGGGGGGTTTTCTAAAACCTAAATAAATACATTTGTTTGCTGTGTCGGCTAACAGACGTTAGCAGCCCTTGTTTACAGTCACGGGGGAATGACAACTCAGGCTGAAGGCAAATGTTCATAAGCACAGAGTCCCCCATTGTCAGTCCTGGTTTAGTCCTGGTTTAGCTCCTGTTCAGGCTGTTTTTGAGTGTCTTGTGTCCCTGTGACGGCTCCGTGCAGCTCTCTGATAGCTCTCTGATAGCTCTCTGATAGCCACACATGAGTCTGTGCCCTCTGCTGCACATGCGGTTCCTCACACGGACAGAACCATTGACACGGCCTGAAACACGATCTTTAGATCCATGGACGCTACACATGGTGCGGTCTGAACGCACCATTAACGTTAACAAATCACTTTGAAAAAAATCATGAATGTACAGTTAGCTTTAGCTACACGAAGTCAAATTGGACACAAACTGCCAAGAAAATAACGCATAATATGTACATATGATAGTATACACTGCAAACGTTATAAAAAAGAACCATATATGAAACAAACTTAAGTATAATTCATTTTTCACTAGTTTCACAAAAGTCACGTTCATGATGTCTGCTGCTCCGTCCATGGTGGAGACTTGAAGAATTCTGAAACTAGAACTCCCAGAGCTGTCATTTGGACTGCTTCCATTCAAACCAATTCTGAGAAAAGTAATTCGTTAAGTACGGTTTTTACCAGAACTCACTTGTCTTACATTCTAAAACTGGTAAATAAAATGATACTGTAATACTCCCAGGTAAGAAATTCTCCAACAGTGTGTTAGTATTAGATAGCAATATGGCCTACGTGCAGGACTCTACAAGGACTCTGATGGACTCCATATTTTAACTATGATGTGACTGTCTCTGTGTGACACTTACGTCTTTCTATGTGTGACGTGACTGACTATATAAACTGTGTACTGACTCCATTTTGTCTGGGAGAAGGAAACAATGGAAACCACTGGAACTTGAGAGGAACTTAAATAAACTTCCAGAGTTTGGCGCGCCACGATCCGTCTCTGTCTGCTTCATCCCTGACAAGTGCTCTTCAAGATGCTTTTATTGACAAGGTGACCGAACAAGCTGCTGTTAGCCACAGCTCACGCTTATCTCACACATTTACAACACACACTGCCGTCGTGTGAACTCGTGGGGAAACCAAGCCCCGGCGATTCAAGATGGCGCCCTATTCAAATGAATGGTTGTGCTCAGTGGCGCTTTGTGACGGCATGGGGGCTGAAAGATTAGCGGAAGTTGCCTGAAACTCGCAAAGATCTATGGGAAAATCGCCTGTATTTGGGCATCCTCTGGTCCTCCCGGTTATGCGCAGTGGATGACCTCCCATAATGCTTTGTGCCTCGAACGACGAGAACGCGGACCTCAAGCGGGAGCGTGCAGCACCACAGACTCGTGAACGCGCATGAATCGAGCGAATTAAGTTCTATCACTGTTTAAGTAAAGATTGATATTAAAATATATGTACAATTGATCAATTATTTTAAGATGGTGTAGAGCAGTATGACAGAGCCTTCTTGTTGTTGATTCTTAATCATTATCTACTAAGTATTTATGATAAGCTAAATGTACAATGATTATATACTTTTTCGTAACGCTTATACTGTGGCATTCACCTGTAGGCCGTCGTGTTTTAAGCAAAATGTCAGTGATGTGTTAACAAGTACTGCAAGATAATTAAGACCATTGTGGATAGATCAAAAAGCTATGATTTAGTCTTTTGTCCTCGTGAATTGTAATTATTATATTAACGTAATTAATAAGTATTATTCTCTATATACACACACACATTATGTATGTATATATATATATATATATATATGTGTGTGTGTTTTCCATGAAAAGTCACACTTGTTCACCACCACACGTTGTGAAATGAATAGAAAATAGAGTCAAGACATTGACAACGTTAGAAATAATGATTTGTATTAGAAATAAGATTTGTTTTACATCCAACTTTGCTTTTGTCAAAGAATCCTCCATTTGCAGCAATTACAACATTGCACCAAAAACCAGACATTTGCAGCTAGAACAGCAGTCATTTACCACATAAGCAGTGTACAGAGTGTATTTCTTTACAGTTAAGACTAGTTTAAAGTTATCTACAGCTTTTCCTTCAACATTGAGGACATTTCAATGTGACCCCAAACTTTTGAACGGTAGAGTATATATTCAGGACTCCCTTGAAAAAGGGGTTCTTTATCTCAATGGGACTTTTCTGGTTAAATAAAACAAAACTAGTTAAGCCACGTATTTGTTTAAGCTGTCTATAATAGGATATTCAAGTATGTATATCTATTTCATTTGCTTAACTCTGGAAATTATGTTACTGTGTATTTATTTATAAGTTATCATATTTATACTTTCAAATTAAATTATAAAAAACAAGTTGCATTTGTTGTTGTTAAATATGTTTCGATGTTATGTAATTAAGATGAGATTTGTACATTTTTGATTTACAATGACCATGAGTAGAAAACTGAAGGGCGATCGAACTAAGCAACTTAAAATTTATTTATTTTAAATTACAATGTGAATCTAATCTGCATTAGCACTTGCCACATTGTTACTCTATTACAGCAAAACATGTAATGCATAAAAACACGTCAATTAAAATGTCAGTTCGGTTCAGTTTCCTCCCTCGCTCCTCTGTCATCAACAGAGCCGAATGGAGCGCGTTCACGCGAGGAACGCACGCTCGTATGGTTCTCATGCACGCGAGCAGAGGGGCTTGGCAACGTCTTGACCAATCAGCGAGCTGCGGATGCTAGAGCGGCGGAAGAGCGGGAAAAAAAGAGAGCAGAGTTTGTTGCACTAAAGTGAAGATTAAAAGAAAACCTATTGATTTAAAAAGAAAAAAAGTTCAGGATGACAAGGGGCACTAAAATCCCCACAAAATCCGACCTTAATGAAAGCTGTAGGTTCTCTGTCAGCTGAGGTCGAGCTGTTTTAATTTGCATTGAGTTCTATGGGAAAAATTTCTGGGTGGCCCGCGTGAATTTAGTCTGGTCTAGTCTGCAGTACCGCGAGAATCCCCTGAGCACGTGGGTTATTCAGCTATAAGCTAGCAATACCCTATCCAGTTAATATAATACATCCATGGGGGAAACCCCCCACCTCTGGAAAACTCTCTCATAACCAGAGCGCCCCCCTGTGGTAGTAAACCGATAACACAGAACTATTACAATACATATTTTGCTGTATGAAATATGAAATTTATATCCAATAAGGCATAGAGGATTTTTATTTCAAAATGAGGTCCTCAGATCCTTTGCTCTTTGTTTACAGGAAAAAAAAAATGTTTGATTGGCTCCTAAATGCAGCAAGTAAACTGGGTGTTGCTAAGAAAACCAGCCATGGATCTATCATAATAAGGAACCAGCACGTACTCTTCTCCGGTGGAAAACCAAGCCAGAACCAGAACTTTAACTGCCAAAGTTGGTTGCAAGCAACCGGAATTGGCTTTATTTGAATTTGACATTTAATAGAATAGAGACAAAGTTAGAAATCCTCATATTTCAAAAATAGAAGAAAATGTCATAAAAACAATGAGAGAAATAAACTAATATAGATAAAGAAACATTTCGAAACTAAAAGCTGTCATAGTGACACTAGATGAGAGGCAATAGATATTTTTGAGTGAATACGGATTTTTCAGTTAGTATGGCTATACATCGACTGCCGTAAATGCGCCATATGCCATTTTCCTTATGAATACCCAAGATGGCCGCAAACATTTTGCTGCAAAGCACAAGAGAGCGCTTCTAATTAAAACGCCTTGTGCATTTTGAATGTTCGTTTTAAATAAAAAAAAAACAAATTAAACATTCTTAGTGGGGAAATAGTGAATGATGAATTGATCAAATTAATAATATTCGTAATACTATGATTCTTTTATGTGGGCGGGATTTTTGAATGACACGAGCATAATCCAATGACACATCAGGATCAGGCGCTGCCCCCGTGACGGATCTGGAACATTCTTAGATATTGACCAATGAGCGAGCACGTCACCTCACGTTGTTCGCACCGTTTTTTGTAAATCTGATGTAAATAAACGAATGACAGACGCTGATCGAAGTGAAACTGCTTCAAAATAACGATTAAACAACGGCAACCCGAAGAAGTCCACCGCGTTCAGGTAACTGTGCTGTTAACATTTCTAACAAGCTGAACGTTACCGTTAGCATGGACATTAGCAGGGGCCAGTTAGCTACTAGAATGCTTTACCGAGGGGGAGAGGAAGCGGTGAATGAATCAAAGAAAGCATTGGACCATTAGCGGCTAGTTGTGCTAATACTAGCACAGTGATGGTTTTGGGTAATTACTGTGCAACCTAAAACGATCTGTTACAGGTCTGCTGCACCTAAAAAGGATAACTTACTAGCACACTGATGAGGTTGCACCCTGAAACATTCCATATAACTGCACAATTGAGTATCTTTGTCTATAACCTGTATCTCTTTGCTATTCAATTTTGGTTGCAAATTGTGTTTATTTTCTGTTATAGTTGCTGAAGACATTGATGTCCAGCTCCTACTGTCAGACTGAGTCCCAAGCTGAAAGGTCGTGGCCAATGCTGCAAGATCGGTCCGCCGAGAGAAGTGGACGGTCTCCCGCTCGAAGTCCCTGTAGGTCCCATCATCAGACCTCCGCTGTGCTCACTCTGCAAAGGGATCATCCTCTCTGGACGTGTCACTAGTGAACGGCGATGTCTGAGCTGAACAGAGAGGTGGTGGATTTGGTTTGGGGGAAACCCTCCAATGGAGTGGTGTCTGCATCCATCTTTCGTAGATGGGCTCAAGGTGTGGACAATTTTCATTAATTTTTCATTATTTTTCCACGTTTGATGTGCAGCAGTTTCACATTGTTTTCAGTAGATATATTATTGACATATTTTAATATTGTATATTTTCGATAAATTGTTATACAAATTTAATAAATAGTATAATCAAAGTATTTTTGATTGTGTATTTTGGGCTACTTTGTGTATTTACTTGGGCTATTACTTCAACCCTAAAAATATCAAGCTGTTTGTTGTTTGCTGTCATGTATATTTTTTCTTGACGCCACAGGATTTGTCTTCAGTGAACACGAACGCACGGCACTGGAGCAGTTTGAAGGGGGCCCGTGTGCTGTCATTGCACCTGTTCAGGTTTGATATCGCTTATACTGTATATTCATCCATGTTACATTTAACTGTTGTCCTTTTATGTAAGTAATGCTTCTTCCTTATACAGGCATTCCTGCTAAAGAATATTTTATTCAATAGTGAAAGTCCCAATTGGAAACAGATGTCTGGTAAATAATTTTAAAAATCTTCTGAAATATCTAAGCAAATTTATTCATCTTGTGTCCTTTTTATTTATTTTTTTTAGATGAAGAACAAAAAACTGCACTGTGTTCAACGCTTACAGAGATCTTAGAATCTGCTTGTTCCAGTCCCTCCACAGGATACTGCTTAGTGACATGGGCCAAAGGACAGAGCCCACATACCAGCAGCACGCACCCAAACACAGACAAACAAGTCCAACAGAACTCACAGGATGTACCAGAGAGCAGTCAGCCAGCACAAGAGCCAAGTGAGTTTTTTTATTCAAATGATGAGGGATGTACTGATGCTGATGCTAGTGTAGACAATTGGCAAATAGACAAATGTCGAGCAATTTAGTTACCGGTACGATTGGCTATCGGTTCTATGATATCTGTCAAAATGATGTCCTGATTGGGTCTTTCAGTTAATGTAATACGACTAATTTACTGGTTGATTCTCACACCCAATATCATAGTTCCAACTTTTACTCATTCAATGTATTTCTGTAGTTACTGACAGGACAATGATACTATTTGGCTTTTTCCCAGCTAACACTTTATATAAAACATCGTAAGTGTTGAGATTGGTATCAGACATGCAAAAGCTGGATCGGTGCCTCCCTACAAATTACAGTGTTTGTTACTGTCGGCTTCGGTGATTCTAATACACTTGTGTTTTCTCCCTGAAGCTGCTCTGGCTGTTGGGGATTTTGACTTTGAAAGATTTCACAGTGTGCTTCAGTAAGTTTAAAATGTGTGACTGGCTTCTTCAATATTGAATTGGCCAATGGTTTGTTTGTAGTAGTTTTTTTGGGGGTGTTACCTAAAAGGTTGCATGACTGTCTTATTTACTTTATTCATTACTTTGTTTCTTCTGATAATGTGCATTAATTTCTTAACACAAGTATACTTTCCAAGCAAACAAAATTATTCCAACTGCATCTGCCAGAGAAGTATTGAACTTTCATTGCACAGAATACTCGCTGTCAGCTAAAAGCTTCTGCTGACTCATAGTGAATATGTTATGTAGTGTGACAGTAAATAAACACAGCTTTACTACTTGGAAACTACAAGAGCAATATTTCATAGTTGCTAATTAACTTCCATAAACTAAAGATAATATTTACAATCCTCATCTGTTTTCTGTTTTTCAGTAAACGATCTATCATGTCTGTTGCTGATGTCAGGGAAGAGGTGCTGTCTCTTTACCACACCTGGAGGGGGTGCTGTGGAGTCTTGCTTTTCCTTTATTCTATGATTTTCACTAAGGTAAAGTCAGCCCTGTTTGGTGGTAGACACATTCTTTCACATATCAAAAATTGAAAACCTTGGACACTGTTTTGTGAAATAGGGAATAGAGAATATACGGAATGAGATCCAGGACACGTTGGAGCCTCTAATAGATCCAGTGCATGGCCATGGCAGGTATACAATGTTATTTATTCTTACAAAAAAGTAAAATAACAAAGGGTTGCATTAGAGTTGTACTGACCTTTTATAATTGCACTGGACCTTGAATTCTATGCTAATTTAAAACTGATGTATTTTTTTCTTTATCATTATCTTACTTGGAATGAGCGTATAATTAGAAGCCAAATCACTTTGCACAATGAAGTTATTCTATTCTTTTATTCCCTGTCTCTGTCCCTGAAGCCAAAGCCTGGTGAACCTTCTCGTCACTGGCCATGCTGTTTCGAATGTGTGGGATGGAGACCGGGAATGTTCTGGCATGCGTAAGAATAAAGTTACATTTTACACCACAGTCCTTGTCAAACATTTTACAAATCAGGGACTACATCACAATTCTGAATTTGAGGCATTCAATATTTTGTAAATTCCCCCAAATTTAATAGATATACACTATATACTATGTACCAACGTGTGTGCAATTCTGCATGTTTTTTCAAAATCTTTTTTTATTTTTTTCAGAGCTGCATGGCATACACAAGCAGGCCATGGTTGGTTTTCTCACCCTCATGGAATCCCTTCGCTACTGCAAGGTAAAGCTTCAGTACATCCGTAGACACAAAAAATAACTGGTACAATGTTGGCTACATTTTACAGTAACATCATATTGCATTACATTTCTTCAATGTTTTGCTGCTTATAGCAGTGTTTTTCAGTGTGCCTTGAGATTTTGTTTATTGTGCCTTTGGAAATGATCCAATATCACCTCTTTGGTCAAAATAATGTCAGAAGATTGTGCTTGTTTGATTTTCTACATATAACACTTCGATGAGAATGACTTCAAAGTTTTATGTGTGTATCCGTTTTAGCTGTTGGTCTTTATTGGTTTAATCTAGTATTGGGTTGAATAGCTGGCTTTGCAGAGACATAGCATCGTGGCTATAATCATAATATCCTCAATGGGATAGTCATTATTATCCATCCATCCATCCATTTTCTTCCCCTTAATCCATTTCTGGGTCGGGGGGGTGGCAGTCAGAGCTGCACCCAGGACACAGGGCACCAGCCCCTCACTGATCCTCCTGCAGGTGGTGAGTCCACAGGAGCTGAGATCGTCCAGGCGTCTTGGTTAAACACGGAAATACTGTGTAAAATAAGCAAATCGTCTTCATTAAATAAACGGTTCCCCTTTTCATTCATGAGAAATATCGTTGTTTGGTTCAAGAATTCCCATTAGCCAAGTCTCCAATCTTCCCACTCTTTCTCGTTACATATTCTGGCATAAGGAAACACTCCTCACACATTCCTAAAATAATGACATCATCAAAAATCAATCAGCAGATATTATACAAACAGTTATATTCCACAAACAACCCGCCAATTTGAAGCATAATTTTTGTTTTGTTGTAGGTCGGTGCATTCCTCAAATCTCCAAAATACCCTATTTGGATCCTTGGCAGCGAGACCCACCTCTCAGTGTTCTTCACCAAGGTAAGTGCAGCAGTCATCCAAAAGCGTATTTCAAACACTGGGACCTTGTGTGAAACATAAGCCAGACTTCCCTGCCGCTTAGGAAAACCAAAATATGGAACGCGCTTAACAGATTTAATATATTAGAGTAGGTCAGATATCGATGTGTGAGGGGAACACGAAGGGGTGGAGTTAGTCATATATGGTTAGTCTGAAACCTGGCTTTATTAATGTCCAATATTTCTGAGAATCTACTCTGTTTACAAGCAACAACTGCTGCTTATTTTGGTTGTTCAATGTGTGTCTAAGCATGTAATGTTACTGATGGGGTCTGCTACCTGCTTGTCGGCATTGGGGATGTTATTCATAACTTGTATAGTATTTTGAAGTTTGGGTGCCTAAATTCAGACCCAGAGCAAAGGTATCTGTTCGATGGTATCCCTTTTTTTGTTTAGAGTGGAAGACTTACATCAACAAATAAACATACAAGCATAGATAGATTCCCTATTGATCCTATTGATCAGCAGAAGCACATCTATTCATACAAACCAAAACAAATAAATACATAATTCAATTAGTAGCAATTATGCTTTAGGTCACAGCAGCAGTTATTTTTTTTATTTTTTTTATTCAGACATAAATTGGAAAAGAGGGCTCTTGTTCTGCCAATCAGCTCTAAACCGAAAGAGTGATTCATAAAGCTCAAGCATGCAAAAAGCAAAAGGTTTTCTAATAAGATAAGGACTTTCTTCACAACATGTTACTTCTACTTGTCTGTTTGGTCAATAAAATGTATTACTTAATGGGGGGGGGGGTTTAAGTACATATGTTATGGTCGGATTTTTATAAGGACATTTTGCCAGGAGCCTAGGAAGTTGTTTTCAAAAAGCTTTGAGTCAAAAATCTCCTTTACTCAGATCTTGTAACTTATCTCTAGTGTGGATAGTTTGCAACAACATTTAAAAGGACTCGAGCATTTAAAAAGCTGACCCTCCACCCGAAAAATTGCACCATGCACTTTGAACGTTGCTATTTTGCCCTTGATTTTCTGTGGAATTTCCATACATGCATAGTGCTCATAGAATGTTAATTTCAACAATATGGATCCTACATATGTTTCTGCCTTCTAACGAATCCCAGAACAAGAATGAAAAACAGTACAGGAAGTAGAGCTGATTCTTTGACAAAATCAGCCCAAAACATGATCTCGTAACATCCACTTTGCTCACTTTTTTCCCCCCTTTCTGCCAGTAATTTGTTTTGCAATGCTATACATGTAATAAATATGGCACCAACTTAACAGGGTCAAATGGGTCTGACCCTGGATGTTTGCGGTTAGTGTTGTCATCAAATGCATTTTTTCTGGTCACTAAATAACGTCTCGGTTCTTGGTAAATACCCATATCTTCATTCACTACACCAACATGCAAATGCAATTATACACACACACAGAAACATGTGGGACAACCCTGAGCTACAACGTGTGTACCATGAGGTCAACTCTTCTGCAGGAGACACTTTGAAGTAAGAGTCATCAGATTGCTGCGCTTGTGTCAGCCGGTGCTCGCGCTCCAGTTTGCGTTCGAACGAGCCTGTTTATCATCTCCGAAACCGACCGTAATCTAATCCGTTCCTTCAGCTCTGTAAAGTGAGAGGAAATCGATTCTTCCTGCTGTTCCAAAAATCGCACCGAAAGAGGCCAACCAAATCCTCTGCAATCATCTTCATTATAACGCAATACCCTTTAATGCGGCATTGATTAAAGGTCGGTTACATGTGTAAGTCGCTTGGATCATGTGTTGGCTCTCTGATGAACGCCGTCATGCGCGCCGATGACCCTCCCCCGGCACCGGTGACATGTTCATATATACACTGATGCATAGTTAAACTCTTACAAGTGCATTCCTCGGAGCAGGGAACCTAATCCTGATTAGCATTAGCGTTGTATGTGTGTCTTCAGGTGGATGACTTCCTGTAGGGAATGTGAGTGCGTATGGTTCCCATCTGGTTCCATTTGTGCTTCTGCAAAGTGGGAACTGTCTACGCTACACACATCCACACGTTTATCCAGGCCCAGGCTCGACTGCAGAGGCGCTAATGGTGTCTCTACCACTACTACAGCAGCCTCTAGCATCACTTCCTGGGCCACGTTTATAATCAAATATGTATCTACTGCACTGCAATAAAATCATCTGGAAGGAGGAAACATGTTTGCTCTTGATTATGACATTAAGAAATGGGTCAATAATGCAAGTTTTAAAAAGTTTTTGGATTTGCCCAGGCTAATAACAGTAACTTCTGGCACAAACATAACTCCGCCCCTTCTGTCTAAAAGCTCCCTTTTCAGTCCTGTACAAGCCCCCGCAAATACGCGTGTGTGGCTCTCATGCACGCGCACAGAGTGGCTCGGTCGCGCTCTGACCAACCAGAGCTGCTGATCAGAGTGGAGCTAGAGCGAGAGTTAGAGCGGGAGCCAAACGAGTAGAGTTTGTGGCACTAAAGTGTGGATTTAAAGAACACAGATGGATTTAAGAAGAAATAAAGTTCAGGATGACAAGTGACACTAAAATCCCCACAAAATCTGACCTTTATGAAAGCTGTTGCTTCTCTGTCAGCTGAGCTCGAGCTGTTTTAGTTTACATTGAGTTCTATGGGGAAAATTTTTGGGTAGCCCACGTTAGTTTTGTCTTGTTTAGTCTGCAGTAACGCAATAATCCCAGAGCACATGTGTCCTTCAGCTCCAATCTCCAGATATTATAATAGATCCATGGTCCTGTAATGGTATTGTGTCTTTGTACCACTATGACATCACGCTCAGAGCTTAGCTCCCTCTGGTGGCACCATCATAGGCAGAAGTACATTTTTTACTATTGAGACTTGTTTTGCTAACCCTAACTGGCTCATTCCACACTACGTAAATTCTTACTTCAAGCATCAAAAAAATAAATGTATGAACCAAAAATGTTCTTTAATACTACGTATCTGGTTAATGGTTAAAGTATAATCAATCTATAATTATAGATAATACCTTATGCAAAAAAATATTATTCAATAACAAAACAAAATGGGCGTTTCGGACGTCACACTTTGCATCCACTTTTTGTAACGTCCAAAAAGGCTGTCTGGAACGCTATTAATAGTACGGGCGTGATCAAATCGGTGTTTATTAGTGTGCCCTTCGCTGGACAAACAAGCTGGAATAAACAAGAGTGGGTGCTGTGAACATTTGACAGTAGCTGCCCCAGACTTTTCAGGACTTTTTCGTGTCATTGACCCATGTGTAACACAGTAGTACAGTTTTGTGTGGCATGAGCTACGTTTTTCCATAATGTAAGTTTTGTATTATCCAATACTGGTGGGGGGAAAAATCTATTCTTTTCAGTATTGCAATATTTTGCGCACACAATTAAATTGATACAGCTGAGCAAAGTATTTAAATATTCAATTAAATAATTTCACTTTTGTGTGCTAGTAATTTACGTCCCGAGGTTTATTTTACTCTATTATATTTGCTTTTTGTGACTCTAGTCTATTGTATTTGAATAATTGTAGTTATGTGCTGGGAGCTCATCATTCATGAGAGGTTGTCTATTCAGAGAATAATTATGTCTGGTCCTGTAATAAGGTTCTGTGTCCTGAATGTTCAAGAATAAAGTCTTATTTTTCTAACATTTTATAATGCCTTTGAATAATATGATAAATATTTGCCAATATCCCAATATTTGCTGTATCGCATATTTGTTTTCAATATTTTAATAATCCAATAATGTTGAACTGTGGCCCAAATATTTCAATACTATCGAATCGTCACATTGTATGCTATATTTTACATAAGAACTGAATTTACGATATTAATTATTTGGTCTTGGCGTGGTGTTGGTGATGATGGGTCCAGACACCTCTGTTAAGAACCACTGGCCTGTATAACACATTCGCATCTGCTCACACACTCACCTCTTGTCCTTGAAAGGAGCTGCTATTTGAGGCTGAGATTCCCCATGCTTGTACACAAAAATACACATTACTTGGTTATTAAGCTCTTAGGTCTGATATTGAGCGAGAAAAGCAGAAAAGCGAATCTTGTCCTCTCATGTGTCTGTCACTGGGGACGGTGGGTGTCCTTCATGAGGCTCCACCGATCTGTGACCACTGCTTTTAGACCATCTGTGTAATAGAATTAGTGTTTTTTTTTTTTTTATCTAATCGTCCAACGCAGAGGCCTTTCCACTTTCAAAGCAGGCTGGGATAGTGTGTAGTAATGTATAAAAATGTAAAAGATTACATTTTTCTGAGAAGTGAGAGAAAAGTGTGTTTTTTTTGAATAGTCAAAGTAGAAGTGGGTGGACTGGAAAAATATATTTTAAATTATTATTTTTTACTCAATGTTTTAAGTTGTTTACTTTTCAGGTATTTTGTGTGATGCTTGAAGCATGATTTTTGTTGTATTTTGAATAGGGGTGTGACGATATATCGATATATCGCAATACTTTCTCCAGCGATTGGATTATTGATATGCATTTGCCAAGTATCAATATTGATTTTGAAAAAAAAAAAAAGATTTTTTTTTTTAAATTGGTATCAATACTTAATATATGGCTACATTACCCATCTCCATTCTATTTATCATGAAATAAAGTGTATTTTTTCTTTTGTTTATGCCATAAATTGGCATATTGTATATTTCTGATCAATATATCGATAATCGTCATATTGTGATAAAATCGTTATCGTGATAATATTGTTATTGTGAGCTTTGTATTGTATCGTATCGTATCGTGAGGTACCCTTAGGTTCCCACCCCTAATTTTGATTGTCATTGGGATAAAATAAGAGATTTCAATGTTTCAGTGCACATACAGGGCAGTACAGGGAGCACACAAAATAGCTATGTTTCTTAGCTAGCTGTAAATGCTTCAATATCAATCTTTCAACAACAAAAATAGTGCAAGTTACATACATATAGGGCAGGGTAATAAGTAAATAGTGTAGAAACGCATTGAGATATTCACATATTTGTAGAC